GAACTTTATTTTCTGCAGAAAAATTCTCCGTTCTGTAAACAGTAACCCTTCAAAACGTCATGCATTACATAAATGAAAGCTGTGACGTCAATATTCGGTGCATTGATCGCGAGGATGAACGCATAGAATAACCAAATAACCAAAGGGTTTCGATGGAATAACAGTAGGCGCATTCAAACCGATAAAACTGATTTATTTTCAAATTTGTATGTTTGAAGTAAATACATAGGTAAATTAGTTTAATAAAATGTAACTGAACTTATTCATGAGTCAAAAACTAGAAACAAAAACAAGTTAAAAAAGTCAGTGCAATTTAAACAATGTTCAAAACATATCACTTCTTTCCACCAAGTTTAGGCTTCTTCAATTAACCTCCTCTGTGGCCTGAAGGTCCTTGTTGATCTTCGCAGCTGAGGAGGTACATTCGGGTGTGGTAAAGTTTCTGCAGGGGATGTTCTAGATCGTAGCTGAGGAGTGACATTTGGATGTTGTGAAGCTACTGCAGGGAATGTTCTAGGGCTAGGAAATACAGCTGTTAATCCATGGTTTTCTGAATTCCGAACATGTACTTCTGGATTTCGTACTTGGAAATCTGAAGAAGACAGTAGCTGTGGTAATTGTTTAATGCAGGGGTCGTCTTCCTCTTCCGATTCATTGTCTTGATAGCATTTCCGAATTTGACTTGTATGTGTTTTAGTGTGTCCATTAGTATCAATCAATTAATCAATTAATCAATCAACCATGTGCTCCTACCTAACTGTCTAAGTATGGTTCCAATTTTTCCATTTTACTTTCCACCCTTCAACAAAAGTACGAATGTACACTTTACTCCCAATAGAAAAGCCTCTGGTTTTATTATATCGCAGCTCTTCAGAAGGTTATCTTGAGTTTATCTTTTGTGAAGGTTTGATAAAATCTAATTTAGTTCGCAGATTACGACCCAAGAACAAAAATTCTGGTGTTTGTCCAGTTGCAGTGTGAGGTGTAGCTCGATAGCAAAATAAAAATGTCCTCAAGTTGTCTGTGAACAAGCTAGGCTCTTTATTGTACTGTAATTTGTTCAGAGCTCTTTTAAAAGTGTATCTAAATTTTTCTCCACTTGCCCATTTGAACTTGGGTGAGATACTGGAGTCGTATATGTTTGATAGTATTACGCAAGCAGAAATCTTGAAAACCTTGGAAGTAAATGAAGTTCCGTTGTCTGAGACGATTGTTCTAGGTATGCCATATTTACACAACAAATTCTTGAGCGCTTCTACTGTCTTTTCTGTTGTAAGGTACATAGGTACTTTAGAGGACATAGGTACTATTTCTGACCATTTCGAGAAAGCGTCAATCACTAAGAGAAACATTTGTCTGTAAAATGGTTCAGCAAAATCTAAATGGATTCGACTCCAAGGTTCACTTTCTTTAGGCTAGTTGACTAGATGTGTTTTACTTGGTAAATCTTTTACAAATAAGTTAAGTTACATTCACAGAAACGGTGACAAGTCTGTTCAATTAGAGCATCCATACCTGGCCACCACACATGACCCCGAGCCTCAGACTTCTTTCTGACAATGCCATTGTGAGATTCATGCAAGTAGTCCATGATGTAAGTTCGGTATTTAGGTGGAATAACAGTTCTTATTCCCCACAGAAGACAGTTATTATGTAGAGTCAGTGCATTTTTCTTAGAAAAGTAAGGCCTCAAGTTCTCATCTGGACACTTATTAGGCCAACCAACTTATACATAGTGCATCACCTTCTTGAAAACAGGGTCCTTAACAGACTCCTCAACGATTTCAGTACAAGTAATAGGGATCTCGGACTGCACTTCTGTTTGAATTGTCACTACTATTGTATGGTGTCCCTCATCATTGGAATCAAAACAATTAGGTTGAAATGACGGTAATCTACTCAAACCATCCACTTTACTAAAATTTTTTGTAGATATGTATTCAATGTCATACGTATAGTTAAACAGTATCAGAGCCCACGCTGAAGTCTATTGGCAGTTGTGGTAGGTACCCCTTTCTTAGATCCAAAAATTGTAAGCAAGGGTCTGAAAAATGAAGTGTTTTCCCAGTAGATATGGGTCCGGTGAAACTTCTTTATCGCGAAAATGATGGCCAGCTCTTCTATTTCTCTTTCTATTTGAGAATAGTTTGCTTCAGTGGAAGTCAATGTTTTCGAAGCATATGCAATAGGCTTTTCAGAGTTGTCAGGAAATCTATGAAAAATTGCAGCACCGATTCCTAAAGCTGATGCATCTGCAGCAAGAATGATGGGTAACTCTGGATTGTAATGTGTTAGTATAGGTGCATTCATTAATTAACAAGACTTTTAATTGGTTGAAACTGCGTTTACATTGGTCAGTCCTCCACAACAAATCTACTCCTTTCTTCTGCAGTTGATTCAAAGGATGACAAATTTTAGAAAATTCTGGCATGAATTTGAAGTAGTACGTAATCATCCCTAAAAATGCCTCCGATTCTTTGACATTTGATGGCTGTGGCATATCGATAATGCCTTGAACTTTAGAATCCGAAACTTGTAAGCCATTTTTAGCTAACCCAAGATATGTCACTGTTTCTTGCATAAACTTGCATTTATCTTTGTTCAATTGGAATCCAAACTCTTTAATTTTATTCAAAGTATTCTCTAGATTTGTGTAGTGTTCTTCATCATTGTGCCCTGTAACAATTATATCATCTAGATAGTTTGCTACGCCTGGCAACCCATTCAACATGTTGTACATAACTTTAGAAAATATAGCTGGAGCGGATGCGATTCCAATACAAAGTCGCTTGTATCTGTAAAGTCCTTTGATGGTATTAATCACTAGTAAGTCTTGTGAATCTCTATCTACTGGTATTGACAAGTAGGTATCAGATAAATTTATGACTGAGAATTTTTCTCCTCCATTCAAATTAGCAAATATTTCCTCAGGTGTAGGTAGAGGAAACTTCTAAATCTTTAAAGCCTGATTCAATCCTGTTGAAAGATCTGCACAAATTCTTATTTGACCAGAAGGTTTTTTAACAACAACACAAGGTGCAGCCCAATCAGAATAGCCAATTGGTTTTATCAGATCAGCTTCTACAAGCCTGTTGATTTCCTTGCACACTTTGTCCTTTATTGCAAATGGAACTGGCCTTGTCTTTTTGTAAATAGGAGAAGCATCTTCCTTAAAAATTAAGTGTGCCGTGAATCTTGTACAATGGCCACTTTTGTTACAAAAGAAATCCTTATTAGAATCAATTAATTTACTTAAGCTCATTCTTGGATGTGAACTTTGAAACCCTGACCTTGAAATGTCATCAACTTCCTTGGAAACCCATAAAGAATCACTTTGTAATGAATTAAGTGGCAATTCGTTGATTTTAAGCTCCTCTATCCAGTCTCTACCTAAAAGATCCTGAGTGCCACCTTCAGCAACGTACAGCTTTAGCTCTCTTTTAGTTTTCCTGAATGCCACTTTAACTGTTTGTTCACCAATCAAGTTTATGCAATGGCCACTATAAGATTTCAGTTTTGTATTTGAATGTAACAAAAGAAATTTTCCCAATCTTTCCCAAGTTCGTTGACATATAACAGAAACACAACTTCCTGTATCTAGTTGCATATTAATTAAAATAGGCTACTATTGATACAGATAGAAACCCAAATTAGAGAAAATACACTCACATTATGACACTGAAGACCAAGAGAAAAAATAGCTTCATTTGTCAATGTAGGTGAACAATCAAGTATGTTAGAGTTGATAGAGGTTCTAGAATCTCTTCCTCTTTCATTTTTAGTGAAATTAACTTGTCGGTTGTACGTTCCTTTTCCATGTCCACCAATTTTTTTGTTTTGAAAATCTGTTCTCCTTTTAATTTTGCAAACTTATGCCAAGTGACCTTTTGTATCACAATTATTAGGCTACATATTGCATTTCTAAATCTACATTGTTTCCTAAAATGGTTACCACCACAATAATAGCATAAATAGTTTGAATTTGTAATTAGAACCTCTCCATTGCTCTCATTATTGGAAAATGAAATCAGATTTTTCTTTGCTGAAGTGATAAAAACTGAACTTAATGTTCTAGCAAATTCAAGTACAGTATTGAAATCTGTGTAATCTTTCTGAAGTAAATTAGCTCTAATAGAATCTTCATATCCTATACCCATTATGAAGGATGTAATGAGAGCAGCTTGATTAAAGTCACCAGGGAAATCACAACTGCTGGCTAATTCTTTTAAGTTACTTGCAAAGGTGGACAAAGATTCAACACCTTGCTTCAGTGAAAAGAATTTTACTCTTTCGGCAACTTTAAACTTTACTGGCTTGAAATGCTTTACCAAAAGTTTAAAAAGTTGTTCATAAGTGAATTCGCTATTTTTTTTGGCTTGCAAATAGCTACCAATGTTTTAAGAACTGTACTATCCAGGCAGTCAATGAATAAACATCTTTTAATATCATCATTTGTAATATTGCACTTTGAATTTAATATTACAAACGTAAATGTCGCATGAATTAGGGTTAAATTTTTCCCATCTAGGTTGACTTACCAACATAGGATTATTAAGACTTGTTGGTAATGTATATTGAATTGAATAAGCTATCTTGCACTATAAGTTTTCCATAAAATCATCCTCGTCGTCAGTTTTATGTTTGAAGTAAATACATAAATTGATAGGTAAATTAGTTTAACAAAATAGAACTGAACTTATTCATGAGTCAAAAACTACAAACAAAAACAATAACAAAAACAAGTTAAAAGTCAGTTGCAATTTAAACAATGTTCAAAACATATCACAAATGTTCATTAAAAAACTATCACACATGTCATTTACTATCACATGTTCATTTATTTATTATTTGATTCATGGTTTTATCGTTTCAATTTATAGTAGGCCTAGTAAGTGGGTGAAGTTATATTTTCACCAACTTAAATCAAATTTAACATAACAACGCCCTTGAACCATTGATAATTTGAGATTGTATCATGAATTTGTGTTGTCCTTTTACAGCAATCCTGAAGGATGCAGATCTTACTAAAATGTCTGCTAAGAAAGTCAGAGAGGAAATTGAAGAAAAATTAGACTGCGATCTCTCCAGCAGGTATGTACTAAATAATACCCCCGCCGCAGCAAACCTGCAGACTAAGCGAATTTCCATTTGACTGATTTGATTTACACTGAAATGTCTACTTAAAAATATAACATTTATTCCCGATTTAAATAGAATTAGTTTAACAAGTACTTAGGTTTGCTGCATCAGGGAGGGTAAAACTTATTTTTTGTAAAATGTTAATAGTTAGTAAGAAATAAAAACATTTTCCAAATTTGATCAAAATATGTTCATAAACAAGCAAACTACAACAGTTTACTTATTCTCCATAAGAATAACATGGGAATTTTAAATTTACAATTTTTTGGAATTTTCTCTGTAACCATTAGGCGCATAATAACGCTTCAATATACTAAATTATTTGTTTTTTTAAGCTCTACAAAATGGTTTGGAAAGAAATTGCTAAATTTTACGTTTTTTGGGTCAAAAATGTGAAAAACCTATTTTTATCCCATAAAAACCCCGTAAACCCCCGTTCCCATGGTCCGATCATGCTGGATCGCGAACTCGTTCGAATAAACATAGGTTTACACGTTTGTACCAAATTTCATCAAAATCGGATCATTTTTGCTCGAGTTATTGTGCTAACGGACACATATATATATAAATATATATATAAATATATATATAAATATATATATATATATATGAATTTGAACGGATGGTGTTTTTGGCCTCTAGGGACCTCAAAACGAAAAAAAAAATCGCTCCCACGTCCAGGTCTTACCATGAGTACTACGGTAATAGCTTATTCCCTATATGGGAAATTCGCTAAAAATCAGTAAAATAAACAAAATTGGCTATGGCAACTAGAATATCAATCTAAATCTATGAAAGAGCAAGTATGTGTGTATATATACCCTATGGACTCAAAAATGTGAGTCCATAAAAATGTGAGAAATGTGTGTTGCTGGCTTAGTGGTTAGAGCGCGGGACTTCAGTTCCTGAGGTCCTGGGTTCGATCCCCCCCAAGTCACCAATGGATTTTATCTAAGTGATAAAGCCGCAACCCCTAGGTCTAGCCTGAAGTAATGTGAAAAACAATCCCAAGCTCGTGCCTAGCGTCCTAGGACAAAAAAAAAAAAAAAAAAAATATAAAAAATAATAACGATTATTAAATTCTAACAGACATTATTTCTATTTCTTCTACTTGGTGGTGTTCTATGACTTTCCTATGTTTCCATAGTTTGCAAATCCAAATCGGTTCTTTCAATGATTGCTCAATAAATACAGCAAAGTGTTAATTCAGTTTTCTTTTTAGTATATGAAACTGTCCAGGCTTTCTCGCTTTTAGCGAATTTCCCATATAGGGAATAAGCTATTACCGTAGTACTCATTGTAAGACCTGGACCCGGGACCGATTTAATTTTTCATTTTGAGGTTCCTAGAGGCCAAAAACAACATCCATTCAAATTCATATATATATATATATATATATATATATGTGTCCGTTAGCGCGATAACTCAAGCAAAAATGATCCAATTTTGATGAAATTTGGTACAAACGTGTAAACCTAAGTTTATTCGAACGAGTTCGCGATCCAGCATAATCGGACCATGGGAACAGGGTTTTATGGGGTAAAAATGAGCTGTTCCCATTTTTGACCCTAAAACAAAAAAAATTTGCAATGTGACACATTCATTGATGGCTTGCTAGTGCCTCATATTCGTCAACGATTGTTGGAGAGCTCTACTTTGACTTTGGATGAAGCAGCTTCTCAAGCCAGATTACTTGAACTTCCTAAATATCATTCTGCACAATAGGCTACATCTTTACCAACAGAAGTGTTTACCAACAATTAACACTGCAGCTTCAAAACCTATCAGTGAAAAGAATCGATACTTGTCTAGTCCTGATCCAAGACCTTCTGCTGCAGAACAAGAATCGTATCTATCTCAAGATAATATAGCATGTTCACTCAATCAGACACGTTACTTCTGTGGTTTTAAGAAACACAACAGAGCTGCTTGTCCAGCTAAAGAAGCTACGGAATATGCAGAGAATGCGGCATTAAAGGTCATTACCAAAAGGTATGTAGAAAATCCAAAACCCTGACTTCTACATTAACACCCTCAGTCCATCAGTCAAATTGTATTTTCTCAGTACCATCGTGTTTGAGTAAATCTGTAGTCCCAGTACAGTTAAATGGAATCAATGCATAGGCTCTTGGTAGTTCTGGTAGTTTTATCAATCAAAGCTCAGCACTTAGATGCAACATTCCTGTCATTCCATGTAATGGAGGAGAGGTATCTATGGCTTCAACAACTCTGCGTTCCTCAATAAAAGGGTTGTACTGTAAAATCAATCTCAAATTGCAAGATTATATTTACAAGAATGTGGTCTTCAGCGTACTTACAAACAAACTTATGTTCCGAAATTATTGTAGGGCATGGCATTCTGAAAAGATACTCAAGTTTACGAGAACATTTCGGAAGAAAAGAGCCTCCTCTCAACATATGTGGTGTAGCCTTAGCTAATGTTGAGCCAGTAGAACTATTTGGTTATCTATCTCCGGATTGCAAGCCTATTGCAACAAAATCTCGAAGGCACTCAGCAATTGACGAACAGTTTATTGAAAGTGAAATTCAATTACTGTTGAAAGAGGAGAATATTGAAGAAAGCAGGTCTCATGGAGAGAACAAGTCCTTGTTGTTGCATCAGATAACCACAAACGTCGGATGGTTGTGGATTATCCACAGAAAATTAATGGTTTTACAGAACTTGGTGTGTTTCCTCTCCCTAGGATTGATGACATAGTCAACAAAGTAGCTTTATACAAAATTTATAGTTCTATTGATCTTTAGAGTGCCTATCACCAAATCCCAATAACAGAAAATGACAAATCTTATACAGCATTTGACGCTTGCGGGAACTTAGCACCAATTCACATGAGTGCCATTTGGCTCTCATAAGTCTTAGTAATGGTGTCTCTGCTTTTCAACGTACTTTAACCAACATAATCACTTGTGAAAAACTTGGAAGCGGTTCAAGTCTATCTTGATGATATAACTATTTGTAGTAATGATCAGGCTGAACATGACAGGAACTTGGAAATTTTCATGAAAGCTGTTTCCAAATATAATCTTACTTTGAACAAACATAAATGCAAGTTTTCTACAACAATGATCCATCTATTTTTAGGTTATGTAATCATTCATAAATCAATAAGACCAGATCCAGATAGTTTGCAAACACTTTGAGATCTTCCCATTCCAACTAACTCAAACTCTCTTCACAGAGATCTTGGTATGTTCTCCCACTACAGTAGAACCCCGGTTAACGAAAATAAAGGGGGGAGAGCTATTTCGGATAACCAATTTTTCGGTTAACCCATCATATGCTAAAAATAGCCAATTTATTACCACAGTGTGTAGGAAAAATGAATTTAAGACAATGTCTATATAATTCAGTGATTTATTTCAGCTACAAAAATGTTACTTACTAATAGAAAATACTTTAAACCAGACAACTGAAGTTATTTAAGCATTTTACCGCCCTATATTATTTTATAGGACCATTTCGGTTAACCCGGGTTCCGGTTGACCCGAATTCTGTTAACAGGGGTTCTACTGTATTCACAATTCATTCCTAAGTTTTCTGAGAAGGTGAGCTGTTTAAACAGAAGTTCATTTCCACTGAATGAAGAAGCTAAAGTCTGTATTCGAAAGACTTAAAGAAGACATTGTTAATGCAGTAACTTCTTCAATTGACTGTGAAGGATTGTTAACAGTACAGTTGAAACTGATGTATCAAATCATGCAATAGGAGCAGCTTTGACCATTGATGGTAGACCTGTAGCATTTTCTCTAGATCACTAACAAATTTAGAACAGAAACGTTCATCTATTGAGAAAGAAGCACTTGCAATTTTGGAAGCATTAAGGAAATGGAGGCATTATCTCATAGGCAGACACTTTCGTCTCATAACAGATCAACCTGAATCCTTCATGTTCAGTGATCGGAATGCAAGCAAAATCAAGAATGATAAAATAATGAGATGGAGAATTGAGCTATCTTGTTATAAATATGAGATTATTTATAGAGCTGGAAAAGAAAACAAAACAGTAGATGCATTATCCAGGGTGTGTTCATTGATGGAAGGAAGCTTATCAAACCTTGTATCACTACATGACGCATTATGTCATCCAGGAGTGTCTCGGATGTATCATTGGACTGAGAGTAAAAACTTCAGTGGCTTAACAGCAGGGCCCGCATTGCGGGGGGGCCCGGGAGCTGAGGGGGCCCGCGGACCGGTGAGCGGGAAACGGTGAGCAGAGAGGCCCGTGAGACGAGTGGGGCCCAAAAATTGGAGTTCATTCTTATTTAAATGTATTATCAAACATTCAATAATTGTATTGAACAAGTAATAACATTGGTTTTATTAATAATATGTTGTTATAAATTATCGTTTAATTTCGTTAGGCCTCTTCAGTGATTACGAACTAGGGTAACAAATTTAACGTGTTATAATGTGGGTCTTTGATTATTATGCAATCTTACTTTCGTCACCGAAAATTATTTTACTTCTCGTTGATTTCGTACACTGCTTATGTCGTATGTCAACATTTTGAAATATTATGTTACTTTGGAGCCTGGAGTCATGAGCGTTGGCTGGGGCTTTTAATATTGTATTATTTTACCTTTAAGTTTTGCCCTAATATTGATTGTATTTTGTTAAATATAATATACTGCTACTCTACTGACTGTGTTTGTTAGCCCATATCTTATTTTACGTCTCAATTAATCAATACTTAAGACATTTGATTAAAGGTAAACGCTTGAAATCCATACAAATATAAAATAAAAAAATGCAATAGGCTATTTTAGCCTGTGATAAAAGTATGTCAATCTATTAAATTAACCAGATTTTAGTGTATGAGTTAATTTTAACCAAAGATTAAACTAACCTAATAAATTAATACTTTAATAGGCCTACTTTACTTTGAAATGGCGACCATACCAATGTAGGTATTTTAAGCCAAGAATTAATGGAGATGAATGTAGGATGAGTGGCGCAACCTTTTAGTTTTGAAAGGGACCAAGGCCAACATATTCCTTAGACACAGCTGTTAATTAATAGCCAATACAGCCAAAGGCAACTAAGCGGCCTACAGTTTATAGAGGAATTCAAATCACATTTTTGCCTTGCAATTAATGAATTAGTCTAATTATCAGGGTAATGAAAATGGATAACATGTGTGATAAATGAAAGGTAAAACCTCCTTGATATAGACATTCTGATACGGATGAAAAATAAGGTTTTATTTGATTTAAAAAACTATTTACAAATACTGATATTGACATAAATGATGTAGTGATGTAACTTTTTCATCAAACCAATATTAAAATAGGCCTACTTAAAACACCCTTTTATGGAACATAACCCATAATTTATTTACCACTCTTTTTATGATTAATCTGTTTGATCATTGTATCGGTGGTCCGCAATTAACTCTGGGGGAGGGGGAGGGCATTTGATTATGTAGTATCGGTGGTCTAAAAATAACTTATGAGAGGGGGGCCCAAAAAATAAGTTTGCAGGGGGGCCCGTAAAAATTTGTTACGCCACTGAAAAACTTGCCTTATTCACTGGATGAGATCAGAAAAGTAACTTCCTCCTGTGCTTAGAGGTAAAACCTCGATTCCACATACATGAAGGACAACTCAAAAAAAGCTACTCAACAATTCAGAAGACTTAACATCGATTTTAAAAGGCCACTTCCATCCAAAGAAAAGAAATCGTTATCTTTTAATAGTCGTGGATGAATATTCTCGATTTCCATTAAGACACAACTGCTAAAACTATTATTCTGAGACTAAAGGAACTTTTCTCAATGTTTGGAGTACCGACTTATGTTCATTCTGCCAGAGGTTCAAGTTTTATGTCTCAAGAACTCAAGTCATTTTTATGTTCACTAGGAGTTGCCACCAGCCGTACAACGGACCAAACGGACCAATCCTCATGCAACGGGCAAGCAGAGAGGTATGTTGGTATAATTTGGAAGACAATCGAACTACCACTTAAAAGTTCTGGACATATCTGATTGGGAAAAAGTACATTTAGAAGCTTTGCACTCTATCTGGTCGTTATTGTGTACCTCAACTAATACAACACCACATGAAAGACTATTTCCCTTTTCTAGAAGATCTAGTAATGGTAAGACAACTCTTGGCTCATGAACCCAGGTCCAGTGCTCATGATGTCAGGAGCTGGAAATACGAACCACTTGTTGAAGAAATGTCAGGAACTCGAAATACAAACCACTCGTTGAAGATGTACTGCTCCTTGAGGGGAATCCTGAGTACTATTCTCACATAAGATATGCAGATGGCCGTGAAACTACAGTGAGTTCCAGGCAATTAGCACCTGTAGGAGAAGTGTCACGTCATGAAGAAGACTCAAACTCCAATCTACGACATGAAGAAGATTTAAACTCAAATCTACAAATAAATTAAAGAAGCTCTGATGTTGAGGTCGAATCTGAGCCTATCTTCAGAAGAAAGACTGAATCAAGACCATGTTGCTCTAAGGAGAAGCTCCAGGAATAAACACCCGCCTTTGTATTTAAAAGATTATGTCAGCTAGAAAGGGAAGAATGTCACATAATTCCTTTCTATCTGTGCATTGTACCATCTGTTTAAATGTTTAGAAATTGTTTTTGTTTATTATGATGTTAGTTGGTTCATATTGTTAGCTTTATATCATGCTAGATTCTTTGTTCAATAAAGCCTAACTAAAGGTAATTTTGTTTTATTCATTCAATCTACAACAAGCTCTAAGCCTGGAAATAGGGCAAATACTGAAAGATAATCAAGCTATTCTTGCAAAGATGCATGTAGGTACAGAGTAGTTAAAATCTGACAAAACCCTTTTAAAGTAATAATAATAATCAGTATCAGCATTCTGACACATACTTTCTCCCATAAGTTTGTCAACAACCTTTATCATGTGTAAGCGGTGAGAGTAAATATACGGAAATGGGATTTGTAAAATTTTGTTCAGAATTTAAAGGACTATAACATACTAAATTTTTATCAAAATCGTTTGGGCCATTTTTGGGAAAATCCTATTTTTCCGTTATTTTAAGGGGTTTTATGGGAAAATCCCCATTAAAAATCTAAATTTATAAAAAATGAAAAAAGCTATCAAAATTGTAAGGACCATAACATACTATGTTATTTTTTGTTGTTTTATGGGAAGATAACATAATTTACAATAACTTTTGAACGGTAATTTTTACAGAAATGGGATTTGTACCATTTTGTTCAGAACTTAAAGGGCTACAACATACTAAATTTTTATCAAAATCATTCGGGCCATTTTTGAGAAAATCCGATTTTTCTGGTTTTTTATAGGAAAATCCCCATTAAAAATCAAAATTTCAAAAAAATGAAAAAACGCCTGGAGATACCATGGATTAGAACCTACATACCAAATTTCATCGAAATCGGACCACAGGTGTAGTCCCTAGCTCTTTACACATCCAGACACACATTCACACACACACATCACTTTGAAAACCACTTTTCCTACAGTCACCCGACAAAGTTGGCTTCCTTGTACTGTTTATAGTACAGAAAGCTGCTAATTGCTGCATATTTATACTTTGCCGTACGGTTTATACTTTGCCGTACGGTTTATACTTTGCCGTACGGTTTATACTTTGCCGCACATCAGGATTCCAACAAAACAACACAAAACAGCGTGGTTCTATTATGCACGTAATCCCTGTACGCTTGGAAATAGGTTGGCAGCACTTAAAGATAATACTACTATGATCAGCTGATTGACTATTATAACTACGATTTAACCTGTCATTCGTGTTTATAGTTTCGGTATTTCTGAACTTTCTTGACTTTTCTTTTAAACGTTTTAAAAACATTCCTACGATCTTAATAAACAAGAAAATACCTTTAAAGCATTTTTTTAGGCGCGGAAACCACTTCAAATTACAAAAACATACGGAACTATATTCTCAAAACGTGGAGCAAATTTCTTGCCGAGGAAAACTAGCGGAGTGATACAGACCGCGGGTACTACTTTCTCTAGGGCACCATTTGTGTTGCCAGCTGAACCTAAAAACGTGTTGTATAGTGTTTGAAAGACTAATTATTTATATGCTTTATAGTGACTGTAGGAAAAATATAATGTGTAACACGAGTGAAAAAGGCCTTTGCTGCACTCGAGATCATTCTGCACTCGCCTGCGGCTCGTGCGTAAACATTGCTCTCGTGTGCAGCAAAGTGCCACTTTCACCACTAGTTACACAAATAACTATTTTGGGTCCAGGGGGGCGCAAAACGAATATATCCACTCAAAACTCAAACTCGAAAATTTTGACGAAAACAATACTTTCTCCATATACTATGGTATAGGGGGAGAAAGTAAAAATGTTATTAGAAATGAGGCACGTGAGTCATCCGAATTGAATAAAGCTAAATATAAATATGCCATTTATTTAGCACTTAAGTAACCACTTGTTAAATATTTTATTTTGTTGGTAGGAAAAAAGAAATTGACGACCTAGTAATGCAGTGTTTAAAAGAAAAAAAAGGCAGTGGAAAGAAATCAGGTAAGAAAAACGGAAAGAAAGACTCTGATGATGAAGGTGGAGATGATGATGGCGAGGATGAGGAGGAAGAAGAAGAAGAGGAAGAAGGAGGTGATGAAGATGGATCAGAAGAGGAGGAGAAGCCGAAAAGAGCAGCCAAAAAGCCAGCACCCAAGCGGAAGAAGGGAAGCAGCGAAGAGTCTGAAGAAGAAGATGTAAGTATTGACATTTCAGCAACTTACCCTTTGCGGACGGGTGACGGATATATCCGCATATGGGTTATTATGTTCCAGACGGGAAACAGATACATCTGCCTTATCTTAAGACAGCCTGGCTAATGTTTTTGCAGTACCCAGATGTCTCGGGCTACCACGGCATTACTTCCCTGCACTCTCCGTAACCCCTGCGACCTTGAAAATGACACACCACCCTCCCCCGCGCTCCCCGCATCCCCACAATGCTACGCATACTTGGCGATTTTTGTTGGTGCTAAAAGCTACAGTTGTCTGTCTAGCAGCATAAAATAGTGATATGCACAATCGCTTGTATTGCAAATTGTCCTAGTTTTCAGAGACGGGCGGCGGATATATCAGCCGTTTTTCTGCAAATCCGTGGACGGGTGGCGAATATATCCAAACAAATTTTTGTATCCATAAAAAAGTTAAAAATTATATAGATAGTATCGTTACTTCCATTGTGTTTATTTAGTGTATACAGGTAAAAAAAAAACAGATAATGAAAATAATTTTTTTTTATTTGTATAATTTTTGCCTGTTCTGGGCCATAAAGTCCTGTCCAGCCTGTCCGGGAAGGGTTGAAAAGCGATATCTCATTAACTACGCCAACATGACAACTTGGTGCATATTGATCCAGGGTAATACTGGGCATTGATGTATTCTACAGTAGAACGACTATAATCCGGATTATTTAGGACCGAAACCCATCCTGATAATAAAATTATCTGGATTATTGAAAAGATCCAGCATGCATTTTGAGTATTTATAGCAACGTGTGTAAGTTGTAGGCTACAGTAAAAACCTCAGACACTACATATTTGAGCTTAAAAAAAAACTGAGTGTTTTCAACTGCGGTAGTGGTTAGCTTTTTTGCTTTAAGTTCTTAATTAGTTTTTAATGACGGTAAAAAATTTTACTTCTAGCTTGAGACAAATCCAATTTATTGAAGGTTCTGATTTTTTATGCTCGAATCATGGACGCTCTACTGTATTTAAATTTCAGGAGACCAGTAATAAGTAGTAATAAGACCTGGAATTGCGATATATTCGACTTCTGAAAATTGTATGTTAAACTAGAAATGAAAAACAATTTTTTTCCTCTTTTTATGCGGCTGGGTCATTATTGAGGGTTTTTAACACAGTATATACAGTAATATATAAGATATTCATAATTATTCATTTTAAAAGCATGGAAACAGTATACATTTTCAAATTGGTGTAACTCGATTAAACACATTTCTACATTTACATCAAGACATGTATTTTATCCTTCTGTACAAAATTTCACAAAATTACTGTAAAAAATTGTGACTAGGCCTAAATGCTATGTTTGTTACCCAGGAGAAGGACAGTGATGACGAATATAGTCCAGCAAAGAAAGCTAAGGGTAAGCCCAAGGGTAAAGGCAGGAAGAAGAAGAAGGGCAGTGACTCAGACTCTGATGAAGACTGGGGAAAAAATAAAGCCAAGGCCAAGAAAGGAGGCGGTGTAAGTATATCCCCAATAAAATTCTGTAATTTTCTTGCACACAATGATTCAAGTCAATGATATTTTGGTTTATTTATATTAATATTTAAAAATAACGGTTAGCAGTGGTGAATAATGTCATTTACTCATATCCCTGTTAATGAAAGCAAGACATGTAAAACCCAAAACATGGACAATGGTATTTCATGCTGCTGATCGGAGGCATAACTTACTCTCCTACCAACACTTTGTCACAATACCTAGATTTCATTTTGTATTATGGCAATTTTGTGTTGGATAAAGACCTCTATTGTCTCTCTGAAGCTGTGGCCACATAGGCGTTTTTTCACGCACAAATGCAGCGTGAAAACACGCAAAAAATTAGAGTAGCATTGAAACAAATAGGCGCCCGCTACTGCGGTAAAACACACCGTGTGTGGTATTCGCCATAACATTTAATGCTGCTCAAGTTTTTCGCGTGTTTTCACGCTGTGGTGTGTGAAAAAACGCCCGCGTGGCCGCAGCTTGAGCATAATAAAAACTAAAAGACTCCCCCTGAACTATCCCATTATGGGGAAAGAGGCCAAACTGTGATACTTGTTTGTTAAAGTTTTGCTTGGTAATTGGATTTTTGTGTCTGTGGTATTGCAGGGCAAGAGAGGAGGAGGTGGCTACACCAAGGTGTGCACTCTCACTCCTGAACTAGCTGCTGTGGTTGGTCAGGACAGCATGGCTCGTCATGAAGTTGTGAAGAAGGTTTGGGCCATCATCAAGGAGAAGAACCTCTATGTAAGTACATGTTTTGTTATACAGATTTTATAATATTGGTTTGTAAAGTAACTTTATTATTAATAGGACTACTCTAGGTACTTTTTTCAGTGAGATTGTTTTTATAAGTTAACCAAGTCAAAAGTAAAAACTGAAGTCCTTGAATGAACTGGGTCGTTGATATTTCAGTTGTGAAAACATGGATTGACCTCTTAAATTTGTGATTAAACTTTAATCAAGCATAAAAAAAACAAGTGTTCAATAAAGACAAATTGAAGTGAAATTCATACATGGCATCTGAGTTCCAAAAGAAATCTCCTTTCATGCTGCAGACAGTAATTTGTGGTTTTGAGGGGGATGGTGGAACTGGTAGCAGCGAGTGTTAGTGTCCAGCTGACCGTAAACTAGGGGCAAAAGTCTATGAATTATTCATGAATTTTGTATAGGGAACGGGAGTTATGGAATAATCACCAATAGCACATGTCTGAGCACAAATTATTTGATGGAGTTCCCTTGCCTATCTTTAAATATTGGCCAGGTGTAGTAAGAAAGTCACAATCTTGGGGAAAGATCATATTGTAGCTGTGATTGCTGAGATAGATGTTGTGCCATCATAGAAGACTATCACAGATTCGCCCAAACTACAAGAAATGTTCATGGGTATGCCGCGATCCCTGGAGCCAGTCATGGTGCCACTGTGCACGCTATAGATCGTAATTGCCGGAGATTAAGCTATTTTAAAGATGATTCACATTTATCCCTTTCGCAGCCAGAATCTTTTAATTTAAATATAATCGAAAACCTCCGAGGTCTTTTTTCCAATGCTTTTATAAAATGGCTTTATCTTTTATTTTAGCAAATATTTTGATAACACCTTTTTCTTGAGTTTTAATAAAATTGCTTTTTTTAAAAATACAATATTTAAATGAAGGTGTGAATGGAATTTTCTTTTGTTTCAGATTCAGATTCAGAAACACTTTATTCAAGATTTACATTTTACAAATATAAATGCAGAATGGCGTCAATAAATACAATTAATTCTATAAAATATTATCAAAATGCTCACTAAATGAGTAGTAACATTTGCTTAATATAAATATTTTCAATTTCTTTTTAAATGTCTTAATATTATTAATTTCCATTAAATCTTTAGGCAGAGCATAAAAAAACCTAGTACCTGCAGCAGTGGGTTTTTTATTATAAAACTCTAAATTATGCCTCTGGATGGCTGGGTAGTTCCGATGCCGAGTATTATAATTATGTGACATTCCCAATTTTGGAAGTGTATGTGTATTCATTTCACTTTTTAGATTAATTATAGTTTTATAAATATATAATCCATACACTGTAAAGATATTTAATTTAGCAAAATACTGTTTTGCCGATTGGTTTTCATAATTTTGTTACTAAATGTAAGTCAAAAAATAAAAAATAAATAAAAGTTTTAGTAAAACCAAGATATTCTCAACCATTTTATTTAGTTCATACATTAGAAACTGAAACACTCAAATATTCTTTTGTGTTACTTACAATTTGTTATTTATATACAATCATAGCTATTTAATAGAAAGCATTATTTACGATTGATTGTATTTTTCAGGATCCGAAAAACAAGCAGTTTGCCATCTGCAACGATGATTTATTTAAAGTATTTGGTAAGTTATGGTTTTAGAAATTAGCTTATGATAGTAATAAGCTACGACTAGTGGATTGTAGGGACATAAGTCCCTAAAAAGCTCAAATATAAAACAAATTATTGTAATATTTAAGCAAACTCTGAATCAAATTTTCTATGTGTCAGGATAGATATCCCTTTACACCATATCTTTTATGTAAATCTAACAGCTGATGTATCTTAAATATTTTGAATGTGATTAAATACATCCCTTTAAGAGTTCCTGCCCTTAGGAGAGGGTTTACAGTTTGATGTAAATTCTACCATCTTTAATTAAAAAAATATTAGACAAGATTTGGTGTTTGTGATTTGTTATGAATGTTGTGTGATTCTTAAACCGTGTTTACACCAGAAAATGACATTATCTCTTAAACATTTTCTTGCTAACTCCAGTGTAGCCTACGTGATTTCAAACAAGTGCTGTAAAACAGGATTTAAAAAACTTCTTGTTGAAAACAAAAATTATGTTAGTAAACATAAACAAATTTGATAATAGCAAATGTTTTCAATAAGAAACAGGGTTTCTTTGGATTGTTATTAACTTGTTTAAAACATTTGTTGTATATTCTAGTGTAAATGCTGATTTCATAAATTCTCATAGCTGAGCATGAGATAAAAGCCAAATCAACCTTACCTACTGCAGGCCTTTGGGAATTAGATTGAAAACTTCATTTTGATAACTATTAAATATTTGATGCATGTACAAAAAAATATAAAATTTATTTATTTTTTCACAATTTGTGTTTATTTGATCTTGTATTCGACCTCTTTTCAGGTGTGAAACGTTTCCGTACCTTTGGCATGATGAAGTACCTCAAAGACCACTTCGTTGACTAGAAAACTCTTGAATTTTAACGGTATTTTTATCATAATTTTCTTGAATTTAGACTGTGAACAGGTACCTCATGCGGTATTGTGTTTTTATTTATATATAAATATTATTTACAACACAGTTTACAATCACCTAACATCATTAATGTGTAGTTGTGAATAATGGAGGATGTGTATTTGTATTGTGATTAGCAGTAATGTTATATGTAAATCTATTATTTCATGATCATTTTGATATTTTTTTTTATGTCCAAAATTTATCTTTCACTACCTGGATCAGTTGTACATGAATGTATTTGTAAGTATTTGCAGTATATAAAATATTGACTTGTGTTTTGGTGTCTCACATTTTTTGCCAAACATCTTCAATCGATATTTGATATATTTTTTATGGATGAGTTTATTGAGTGATATACTTCTTAGGTTATTTTTAAGTAAAACACATTTATAGTCTTATATTATTTCAGTAACTATTTGCTTTGACTTTTTATGTATTTAAAACTAATTATTATTGTAATGTGTTTTAATAAAAAATAAATAAAAGATCTCTTTTGACACGTGACACATTTATTATAATTTGGCTCAAAGTTCTTTTTTCATTTGTACAATCTTCCAATTTTTGGGGTGTTAACTCCCTCTTTGACATAAGAGTATTTATACTAGAAAGGTAGCTTGACGGTACGTCCAGAGAGCACGCCGATTCAGATTCAGATTCTGATTCCGATTTTCGGCGGCAGGAATGGCCCTTGCATTCAAATGGAAGTGGCCGTATTGGCTGCTGGTTTCCGAGCCCGCAGGCACCTGCTCACTGGAATGAATTCTTCATTCTGGTTTCAGATTTTGCTTGTGCGCATCCCATTAAGTTTAATAAATTATGTTATAAATATTTTTTTTTCATTCTTACTTTTAGGGTTACTACTATTAAATGGTCTTCATGATTTTTTTTTTTTTTTTTATTATGAAGGTTAAACCAGTTTCTTACAATACAATGTCCAATTTTAATAATACGTTTCAGTGGTTCCCATTCAACGCAATATATCTGACTCAGATTAACCAAGAGCCGAAAATCTGATTCTGAATCTGAATCGGCGTGCACTCTGGACATACAGTAAGGTTTTATCAAACTTCCCATGAAGGGAATAAGATAATACCGTGGGTATCATGGTAAGACCAAAACTCAGGACCAACGTTTATTTGAAGGAGTTTGCAATCCAGCATGATGGGACTAGGAATGGGGTTTTTTTTTTTTTAAATAGGGGTTTCCAATTTTTGATGCTTAAAACATACCACTTAGCAGCTTATTTTGGTATAGAGCTTAAAAACACAAATAATTCAATGTATTTGCTTAATGGTTATGGAGAAAATTTAATAACTACTGTAGGCCTATAATTACAAAAATTCCCATGTTATTGTTATTTAAGGACAACAAGTACATTTGTAGTTTTTGTGGATTTTGGTAAAATTGACAGTTATTTGTTTATTTAAAACATCACAATACTTAATAAAATTGACAGGTCAAACAGAATAAGAATATATTTATTTCCAAAATTACAAATTAGTACAATTGTGGCTTAAAACAATGTACAAAGGAAAAAAATCCCCACAAAGACTGTACATCTGCGTGTGGGGAGAGTCTTTGTCGCTCACCACTTCACGGACAAGATAACAAAATAAACAAATAATTATTTAAATAAAAAGAAGTATTTTTTTCCCATATCGTTGGCAAAAAAGACTAAATTGAACATAAACAATTATTGAGATGAGTTGAACAGGTCTATAATATAATAAACTGAGAATACTTAAATGAGGGTGCCAGTACTGAAGTAGTTTGGAATTGTTAGCCTAATTTAGTTTTGGAATTGTTATCGACTTTCATTATGTCCTGTACTGGGATCTGATGAGCTCTTTGGCAGCATCATCGCTCAGTCCGAGGAGCCAACGCCCGATCTTTCTGCTGAAAACCGTGACACTGTCTCCCTCCCATTCTCTTATCTGTATGGGGAGATTGGTGCATATAATGTGGGCTAGATAGTGAGGGGTAAGAAGCTGTGCTTTATTGTTCAATTTGGGAACAATTTGGGGGATTTGGGAGATGCCTATGTGTGTTTTAGATCTAGTGTCATCATAAGAATGTAGTGAGTCTTTAAGAATAGTTTCCTGATGCTAAGGACTGGAAAATTTTGGAAAAGTAGGTAGGTGGGGGTATCTTAGGTCTTTTTTTAGTATTTGTTTGATTATGGATTTCTGGGTAACGGCAAGAGGAGCCAACACAGAGGCAGACGCAGCCCCCCACGCAAGTATCCCGTACTGTAACAGTGACTGAACATACGCAAAGTATACACACCTGCAATGGTCCACAGACAGCACACAACCAAGCTGTGAAAAAGCGAAGATCATTTTTCTTAATCTTTAGTTGATATAATCAACATGTGGAGCCCAGCTAAGTTTGTAGTCAATTATGACTCCAAGGTATTTGTAATTTTCGACTTGCTCATGATTTCACAATGGCACGGCGCCGTCCATGGACCCCCACAGCCGTGCAACCTAAGTACTCTATGGCCCGGACCACTGTCGCATCGAAAGTAAATAGGCAGACATTTGGTCTTGGACACAATTAAGGATAGTATTTTGTGGTCAAACCAAAGTTTGAGCTTGCCCAAGTCGGAGGACTCCCTGTCATATACGACGTCCCAATTTGGCCCGGAGGAAACTAGAGCCATATCATCAGCAAATAGGAACACCTTACCTTTAATTGACAGATTTCAGATATTGTTAATGTATATTAAAAATTAAAGAGGGCCAAGTGTGCTTCCTTGGACGACACCATAGTTAATGTCTGTGTTGTCACCGTTGACTCCACGTATTGCTACAAACTGTTTTCGACTGTAAAAATAGTTTTTAAACCAAGTTAAGGAAGTATCTTTGACACCTAGTAAGTTTAGCTTTCTGAGTAATAAATTCATATCGATAGAATCAATCGCTTTAGCAAGATCCAGGAATGTTATAATAACTTTATTTATTTTACTGATTTCTCAGGTAATAAATGTTGTGAGATCAAAGATTGTATCCGATGTGTTTAATCCTTTTCGGAAGCCGTATTGATTTTCTGTTATAATATTCTCTTTCTCCAGATAGTTTAAGAGCTGAATTTTTACCCATTTCTCTAGAATTTTACTTATCACAGATAACAATGAAATGGGTCTGTACTTATTAATGACAGATTTTTGCCTAGATTTGTGTATCGGGATAACCTTAGCTTATTTGAAGATATCAGGAAAGTTTCCAGTGCGTATACTTGTGTTTATTAATTAGTTAGGCTAGTTAGAATTTTATCTTTCTAGTTCGAATTTATTTTAGATAGTTTGAATATATCTGGCAATAATCCAACCTGTTCTTCTCTATGGTTCGGAAGTATGGACCCTCACAAAGAACATAGAGAGAAAATTAATAACTTTTGAGAATAAAATACTGAGGAGAATATACGGACCAACTTTGGAAGATGGGGCGTGGAGGATTAGAAAGAATAAAGAGTTAAGGGACCTTTATAAAAGACCTGATATTGTAGCTTTAATTAGAAGTAGGAGAGTCAGATGGCTTGGGCATGTTAGAAGAAGAGAAGAAGGCAGCAGTATAAGAAGAGTGTGGAGGGGAAAGCCTGAAGGAAGACGCCCACTGGGGAGACCGAGATTTAGATGGGATGACCAGGTTGCTGAAGACATCGGAAGAATGGGCGCAGAGTTGGACGAGGCAGAAGATAGAGAAAGATGGAGGCACCTTGTTGGCGAGGCCAAAAATCTCCTTGGATTTGTGTGGCCACAGGAGTAAGTAAGTAAGAGTAAGTAAGTTAGAATTCTATATTGCTGCATATTTTTCTTTACTTGAAGAACACCCTATTACATATTAATACTTTATGACCTAAAGACAGGGTTTGGTGTAGAATTCAAAAATTTGGTTAAATTATAAAAATTGGCATTGGTATCAAGAATTGAGAATCGCTATCAACATATCACTAATTATTGTTGAAAAATCCAGTCTTGAAAAATTTGGCATTAGTCTTAAAAAGTCTGGAATTTTAAAATGGAAATAAACTAGACACCCTAAATTTTAACTGTCATGTGGTGAAAAATATTTAATAACGTCTTACCATTGCCAAAAAGCTGTTGTAGCTCTCAATAGACAAAGCCAAGTTCTTAACTTTGTCTGTGAGAAGACCTGAGTTATATGCTACAAACCAGCAATTCATATAGGATCCTAGGTACACAGTACACACACATTTAGGGTTTGGATCAGTCTGTTCCTTTCTTTTACCTTATGTCAGCTATTTTCCATAATGTGTAAAGATGAAATTCTTACATGGAATTCGTAAATAAATTAACCGATTACAAGGTCCTTCAAGTATGTTCACCGTGTTCACTGAATCCGTAATTCCTTTGATGTTGTGATTTCAAAATAGCCTAAAATACGTCTTTGGAGTATATATTTTTTTCAAAAATTTTCAGGGGAGGACCACCCCCCTGCACACTAAGGAGTATTCCATACCCCCCCGGCAGCCCCCCCCCCCCCACATTTTGGGGCCTAGATCCACCTATGTAGACTATTCAAAGGCCGTTGATTCAATGAACCATGAGATGCTATTGACCAAAATGAAATATGGCTTTTACGAAAATATGTTGAAATGGATAAGGTCATACTTAAAGTAGGGACCACGTAAGTTTGCAGTTGGTGGCAGCTAATCACAAGACAAGGCTAGTACGACGTTGCCACATCGCCCGTTGACAACACTAATTAAAATATACTAAGCAATATTTTCAAATCAGCTGGTATTATTAGATTTGACAACACCTCACAGTTCTCATTGGTTCATTGTTCATTCAAAACTATATGGTAAATAGGCTCCTCCCTCAAATGCAAACTTACGTGGTCCTGACTGTAGACTCCAGGCTGCAAGTGAAACAGTCGAGAGTAAAACATCAACCCCGCTTGTCAAAACCCAAGGAATTCCCCAAGGCTTATCTTGGGCCTTTTCTGTTCAATTTGTACACGGCAGACCTTCCTAGCTGTGTGCAACATTGTACAGTTCATTTGTATGCTCACAGTTGACTCACAGCTGCACTTGTCTTTTGAGCCATCCCAGATAGAGCTTCACTCGATTTCATTAACTCTGATTTATAAAAAATCCTTTTGTGGTCAGAAGCAAATGGGTTTAAACTCAATACTGGCAAGTGTACTTTGATGCATGTGGTGCTACAAGACTTGGTGCAGTCCATCAGCGAGAGAGAAATGAGTGTTGTGCTCAACGGGGAATCTTTGACTTTGTGTGACTAGTCAAAGAC